CCAATTTATAACCACTCACACTTTCATATGAAGAATAGATCACAACTATGGCCCAAGATGAAGGAGGGAGGAAGAGAGCTGTGAGGGGAGGGGAAAGGTAAGTTTGAGGGAGGGTAGGGTGAATTGTGGGATCACACCTATGGTGTATAATGCAAGGGTACATGTTGGATCTATTAGTATAGAGCATCAATGTCTTAACACAATAATTAAGTAAAAGAGATGAGGTACATATTAACCAGTGTGATGTAAGCCTTCCAAATTCTAAATGAAATCAGCACATTGTACCCCATAAATGCATTAATGTATACATGCTCTATGTGTTTACAATTTAATTTTAAAAAATAAAATAAAATTTCCTCCCAAAATATTTTATGAGTAAGAACATGCAAATTAGCTCTATAGTAATAATTCTATGTAATTTCAACTAAAATATCCTTTACATATTATGTATATTATAAGAAAAAAGAAACTAGTACATCATTATTCTTAAAAATTTCTTTTAAGAAGTACATCTTATTCTTAAAAACTTCCCCACATATGATCCAAAGAAAGTCCATCTTGCCAGTCTGTCTGGATTTCATTCTCCTACCTACCTACCCAGAATAGTCAACATTATTATTTTTTTAAATATAGCAACCTGTGTTCTCATATTTCAAAATCACTACCACTTTATCTTACCCAGCAAATTCCTTTTTACAAGAATTCTGGAGAAACAGGGTTCATCAGCTCTTTACCAGAAATTCACTGCTTCAAACCTTTTTTTAAAAAACCTAAATAATACAATTTCTGGAGGTTGCCTTTTTTTTTTTTCTTTTTTTTTTTTTTTTGTCTCTTGCATATTTATTTATTTTTTTAAATAACCACAGCTTTCAGCCCTCAAATGCCTTGAATATGCCGAGGTAAAAATGCTGTCATTCATCAGCCAATAACATCAGGTGTTATAATCTTAGAACCAATGATAAAGACCTGGGGCGGGGCTTGGAGCAAGTAACTGTCAGTGAGGCTGCGGTTAGGCTTTGCTAAGCTGAGGTGAGCAAAACATAGCTGGCCTGCACTTCCCACTTACCTACCACAGGAAACTCCTTTGGAAGCTCTGGACGGTGAGCTTTCCTCTAGCTTCCCTTTCCAGAAGTTGATCTTTCCCACTGATGCTTTCTCTTTCAGCCTTTCCACCCAAAAGAACAAATATTCCCTCAGTATTTCAGCCAGAGATTCAGTCATCCCCTTTTAGAATTTACATCTTTCTCATGGCAGTCAAGCACTTTCCTAAAGATCAACCAGACTTGCAGTTTACTCCTTAGCCCCTACCCTTCCTCCATTATGCATTTCATATCAACCCTTTAGGAAGTATTCACTGGCCTCTGTTCCCTTTGTATTAATGAGGCACTGAAAAAAGTCCCGGAGCAGAGCGCAGTGATGCAACGAATCTCCTCCGGTGTGTGGAGCTGATCCTGGGTCCATTCGGAGAGAAGAAGCCTTAGGAGGACGATAATCCGCTCACCTTCAGTCGGTGAGTAAGATGCCTGCTTTATGTAGTAGGAAGGTTCACTTAGCAGACACTGTAACCATTAAGCCAGAGCTTTGCCTCCCTGAATATTAATGGGATCCCACAATGCCCTCTTCAGGATACTTTTGACTCCTAATTGCTGCTAAATGTAGCAATTAAAAGGAAGAAAGCTTGTTCCCATTGTTAAAGACAAGATGAATCAGTGTGCCCTTTACTCCATGAGACAGAAAAGTTTTAAACACAGGGATCTCACTTTGCCACCCAGACTGGAGTGCACTGAGTGATTGTAGCTCTCTGCAGTCTTGAATGCCTGTGTTCAAGCCAACCTCCTGCCCCAGCCTCCTCATTGGGTACCTGGGACCACAGATATGTGTCATCATATGCAGCTAATTTTTTTTTTAAATCAGTTTTTAGAGATGAGGGTCTTGCTATGTTGCCCAGGCTGATTTTGAATTCCTGGCCTCAAGTCACCCTCCTGCCTCTGCCTTGTGAGTGTTGAGATTATAGGTCTGAGCCTCTATGTCCAACCCCATGCCAGTTTGAAATGGCAGGCATTAATTACCTCTACACACAATGTGAATTGTGTTTTCCTTAATGAGACTTCAACTCATAAACTTATTCAAAGCCATCAAAAATTAATTTAAGCTGAAGAAGAGTTCTTTGCTCATACATTAAAATATTAAAACTGGAGTAATAGAATTTTAGAAATGAGAAAAATGCTTATGGGAAAATGTATCCCTACTTATAGTGTGGGAAACAAAAGACTCATTAACTATATTATTAAATTCCAAAAGCATGGAGGAATGTGTAACTATGATGTGGAATATAGTTTTTCTTATTTGCTCAAACTAGTATGATCTAGATTACTTAGTATTGGTATAACACTGTGCAAGTTAAGCGGTGACAGTGAAAACATTTTCCTGAATGGTTTGATGAGCATTCTATTCTAAATTCTAAGAGCAATTATCAGCAATCAAAATGGTCTTTCCTAATAGCAGTGATTTCTCCTCCAGCACTGTTTCTAAACCTCAGTTACTCAAACCCCAGTGATTTAAGTCACTGGGAGGCTTTTACAATTTCTAATATCCAGGCTGCACCCCAGACTAATTACATTAACCTCAGTGGGCAGCAACCAGGCATCAGTATTTTTTAAAACTCATCAAGTGAAGGAAGGTGGGAGGCCACAGAGGGACTTTACCTAACAATGCAATGTAACCTAATTCTTTGTACCCTCAATGAATGCCCCCCCCCAAAAAAAATAAAAACACACTGAGTGATTCCATGTGTAGCAAGATTGAGAATCTCTGGCTTAGGAGGCATAGTTAAATTCACTCTGCTCTATCATTTGTTTTTTTTTACCAAGATCTCCAAGTCTACCTCCAGTTCTTGCTAAGTTAAGGTGAGCTTAAAAACTTTAGAAATGCTTTGAGGAAAAAAAAAATCTAAAAGCATCCCCAAATCCAAGAACTGGTTTGATACTCACAGCTGGCCTGATACTAATGACCAGGATGTGCTATTCTCCTTAAGGACATGAATAATTCCACAGAACATCAACATCAGAAAATGTCTCCCAGAGGTGTCCAACTTGTGGCCAGTGGGCCACATGCAGATTATGTGAGGACTTTTTGCTTGTCTGTGGTATCTGGTATCACAAAAATTATGCATGGACCATGAACCTTTTTCATTTTCTTTTTTTGCTTATCAGCTTTCGTTAGTGTGTGTGTATTTACATGAGTTTTATTGAGACACACAATCAAAGAATTGTCCTCCCCTCTGACAGCTCCCAATCTAGAAAGAACCTTTACTTCCTTAGACCCTCTCCCAAATTACTCAGCCAAAACCCAGATGCTAAAATAGGTTCTTCCTAAACATTTTTTACTGAGAGGCCAATGGCTCCCTATGGTGGGTAGTCAGTCTCCCTCACTAAACAAATAATAAACAAAACTTGTCAGCTGCAGATGTGTTTCTGGTGATTTTGGCTGATGAGCATTAAAATCTTGCCTTGCAAAACATGATCAGTAATATTGAAAAGAATCTGGCTTTGAGCCTGAAAATTCAGATTGTTGCCTTTGAGTTGAGTGGATCACAGTGGTTGCTAACATTGGCTACACGTTAAAATCACCCAAGGAGCAACTCAGACTGAATGAAATTATAATCTCTGGGAACAGGACCCATGTACTAGCATCATTGTAGCTATCCAGGCAAATCCAAAGGTCAAAAATATAGGGAAAGAAATTGCGCAGACTAAGACATTGTACAGATCTGAAAACTGAGGCGAATGGAATTGAAGTAAGTTGTTCAGAGTCTTTGAACCTACCAGCAGAAGCCATCAGACTGGTGCATGCAAGTAGTTTGACCAGAGTCCACACTTTTACCTTGGTGCTAATGTGATGCAACCTTTCTGAATGTATATTCATCTAATTATCTCTCTCAAAATACTGTTTTTCTTATCACAAAAGAACATTAGAAAACAAATTTATGCACACATACACAAACATATCAGAAACTGAAAAACAAATCGCCAGATTATGAGAGCAATCATATTTGCTCAGTAAGGTATCCAGATGAAGCTAATAGCAGACACTGAAAAATGTTAAGCTATTATTATTAGAAATAGAACAAGAAGAATTCCCCGCATGAGTTTAAGGTCTTTGGTGTAAACTTTCCTTTCCATGGGAAGCAGGTAGGATTATCGGACTGTGGCTATTACAACTATATAGCTTCAGACTCTTATCAAAGCCCTTGTTGTTTCTGTTGCAAGAAGTAACAATATAGTAGAACATGTAAAATTTCAGTTACCAGGATCCTTTTCTGCTTAAAACTCCCCAAACTTATGGGTGTTACTGGCAGGGCTTCATTTGTTTCCATTTGGGTAGGTTTTAACTTTCTTACTGACGTAAACTTATAAAAGGTAGAAAAAACCTGATCTGTTAGTGTCCCAAATAAGATAAAAGAAGGCTGTGGTTGAATATCACCATAGTCTATTTACCTCTGGATAAAACAATAAGTGGGAGCCAAATATTCCCCCGTTCCACTTCACACTTTGGAATAGCTGTCAGGACATGTTCCCGGGAGCTGGGATAAGCTCACCAACCCCTCAGTTGTCCATTCCCAGAGCTAAGTAACTTGTACCAGCTTGTGGTCCCCATGATCACACTGGTGAATGTAAATGGTTAAATGAAGAAATTTTCTTTCACACAGTTGGACAGATGCAGGGTGCATAATAACTGGGTAGTGCTTGGCACCATAAATGAACACAAGGTGACACTGGCTAGTTTCTATCCCTTGGGTTCTGCCTTTTAAAGTTCATTTAAATTGAAAGTATCACAGAAAGGAGAGGCAGTCCTAATTTTGGTAGGCTATAAGACATCACAAGAAATAGTAATTTCCATTGTAAGCAAATTATCTGAAGGCCACCAAGAAGGCAAATGTTATGTTTTTTTGAACCTATCTGAGTTTTGCAGACAGACATAGAATTGGACTCAGACACAGGATGGACAATTTGGTCAAGCATGACACGCAGAATGCTAACTTCACCTTTCATTACAATTCTCCGGACTCATGGCTGAAAGTACTCAGGAGTTTATTTCTGAGTACTCCTGAGAACCTGCCTGAAATGATTCTAATATTATCTTTGATCTGCACCTTGGGAGGTAAGTGTCTCTTTTTTTTTTTTTTTT